TTTCTAATTTTGTGGCAATAAGCTTTTGAAGTAATACCTAATGAACTTTTGGATTTCCTCAGTGACTGTAGTTGTGTTCTCTTTTTTATTTTTATTTATTTCTGTGGCATTAGCTGTTAGATCCTGTTGCATACTGTGTGCAGGAAGAGATCTGTGCAGGAAGCTGGTTGCTCCTGCAGAAGCCTACTCAGGATGGTGTGAATGATCTTGGATTGGCACTTGGTTTTGGGGGAATTGCCTGTGGGTCTCCACAGACCTTTGATCTTGTGGACCAAGTGGATTGCTCAGGAATTCAGGGATCCTGCTTTTGCCAAGGGAAGTCCTGTAGTCAGTGGCCCACCACTGGCTTTCTTGCTCACAGTTAGTGAGCACAGACACTGCTCAGACACTGGATTTGCTGGGTGTGGCCTTTTTGGAGAGCTTGTGAGCTCGGAGGTCCTGCTGGTCTCCTTTGGAGACAGGTTGAGCCTTGGAGCAGTGCCTGGGGTTGCTTCCCTTGGTCCTGTGAGTCAGAAGTCCAGAGGTTGGGGCTGCACCCCGTGTTTGGAGCTGTGTGACCCCGGTTCTAGAAGGTATCAACTCCACAGAACAGTGAGAGTGAGACCCCGAAATTGAACCACCTGCCACTGGTATTCAGAAGGTGTCCACAGGATGGTGAGAATGGGTGCCCTGATTTGGAGCTTCACCCCCAGTACTGGAAGGTTTCCACAGATGGTAGGACTGGGTAGGTGGCCTAGGGCTGTGCCAGGCTCACCTGTGAACTTTTACTGAGATTAACCACATGGCCTGAAGCTGGACCTCCATGTTTCCCTGTGGGCTCTCTCACTTGAGAAACACAGGTGTCAGAGTTTTGGGGTCCAGTGTATGCTCTGTAGGTTGTTCTGCTCTCACTGCTGAGCTGCTGTGAGCTGCTGAGTACCTGTGTGGTCGGTGCCGCCATCTTGGATCTTTCTTGATTGCATTTTTAAAAGGTTTATTTTTGTAAATTTCTTAGTGAAATTTTTAGAAACACATGAATTAGCATTTTAAACCCTTTACCAGGAATCTGATACCAAAGGAAACAGCAATAGAGGTGATTTGGATGAGGCCCTCAAAGTAGAATATGAATTTAGTTTTCTCATTCTAGGGGAAAGTTTGAATATTTGTTATGATATTGATTAATGTCCCTAAACAGTAGCTGCCTTTAAATATATGAAAGGATCATTTATAATAAACTTGCATAGTGGAAAATTTCCAAGAGTTCCCATTTGGATGCTTGATAAATTTAAATTCATGGAAACAAACTTGAACCAATCACTTAAAAAAAACAAAACAAAAACAAAACAACAACAACAACAACAACAAAAACGCTGCTTCCTTTTGCTTTACCACACCTGGTTGTCCTGTGTGGGAATTTTAGAAGACTATTACCAGTCCAGGTATATTAACTCCAAAGCGAACCATCTCCCTTATGAGAAACTATAGTGAAGCCTTAACTTAAACTAGAATACCTTACACCCTTTTATCTGTTTCCCTTGATGATTTGTCCAGATAATTATTCTGACTGGCTATATGTGGAGAAACAGCAAATACTAGGCATCTGTGCCTCTCTAACACACATGTAAGTCCACTGGATTTCAAGAGGTAGACAACGAGAGACCTCTGATAGACCTGAAAATGGCCAAATCCAAAGCAAATGCTTCGCTTCCATCAGGCCACAGTTGGCAGTTTAGAAAGAGAAGCGCCCTGTATCATCTTGCCATCTATAGATATTTTACCTTGGCTTTTCTGCCTGCCATCCAGAAAGAGCCTAGAGAGTAATCTTTCTCGGGGTTCTCAGCGTTTAGGAAATTCCGGCTGGAGTCTGAGATGTCACTCCTGTCTAGCACCTTGCTTGTGTTGCTTGTTTGGGATTCACGCTCTGAGGTCCCTGGATTGTCACCAGGGAGCTCTGCAAGTTTATGGTAGCAGATCTGCAAAGGCCAGCTCACTGGGCTAATGAGGTCCTGCTGTCTGCTGCCCTTATGCACTGTGCCACTCACCAAGTCTAATTTTGGTAATTTTCAGACCCAAGGCCATGTTTAGAGGGAGTGGGATTTGCTGGGATCAAATTTCTGCTGTCACCACAGCATCTTGGTGTGAAAATGAGCATCTGTGCTGGCTTTGGGGAAAATACATTGTAAAGGTTGACATAATTGAAGGGGACACAGAGAGGAGGGACGGCCTCATCTTTATTTTGTGTGATACAGAGGACAATTTTAGATCTGAATTTATGCCTGTGAGTTCAGTTTAAGCCTCCTGTAGGACATTCCTTCCACAATATCCAAATATTGCCTTATTTACTTAATATGCTCAAGGACCAAAAGATTCAAAACCTCACTGGCATTAACTCAAGCCCCCTGAGAAGTGTCAACTGGCATCATCTCCCTTGTCTGTGCTTCCATCAGATCTTGTCATGAACCTATATAGTCATTTTCATATACAATGTGTCAATCAGGGACTGAGGAGTAGACATACAATTAAAGTTCCAGCTTTGCATCTTCTTCACTTGTGGCCTCTTATACTGATTTCTGTTCTCATTAATGGGCCCTGATGTGTCTAGCTACTCTCCAATTGAGATAAACGATATATCTAATTATATCTCAGATATGATATAGAGAATCTAGTGCCATGTGATAAAGGAATGTGACTGGGAAATCCTTAAGGACCATTTTTTCTCTCTTTATAACTTGTAACTTTGAAATTACCACTACAATATTAAATACTCCTTAGTGTCCAAATTACTCAAGCTGAGAACAGTTTCCATAGCATGGGTTATAGCTAGTTTTCTCATGTAGTGAAATAGCGTTGAGCATGAGCAGAGGAACTTAAATGATTTTGTTATTTCAGGCTGTGCCGACTATCATAACTGTATTCATAGCATCCTAATGTTGATAGAGTCAAAGAAACTATGCAAAAATTAGAGACTGCTGTGGTGTGTTGTTGGCATTTTATCTACTGATACCTGGATTTGAATTTCATAAGACTTCATTATAACACAAAATATTATTCATTGGTATTTTTCCCAGCTGTACTCAACAGATCTGTATAAACAGCAGTTGGAATGGATTTGGCACAGAGGCCATGGATGAAGAGCAGTAATGTAACCCTACCCAAACATGATCTCAGAGCAAAACCCGTTTTCCTACACTCCTCATACTATCTGTGTTTGCATGTGCTTGTGCATGTGAATGGCTATGCAGCCATGTGCATCTGCACTCACCTGTGCTTAGACCTGTGGCCTCCTGTATGTAAGAGCCTGCCTTGCCACCTCATCACAGTATTAGGTTCTTCACGAAGACAAGGAAATGCCTCAAAGGTCAATTCAGTTCCTTCAAATTGACTCCTTGCCTGGAAGACCCATACTAACAGTGATTGACAAGCATGCAGAGAAAACGTGGAGCCACAGGGAAACAAACAGGAGAGTGTTGGCCCTTACCTGATGGCGCAGTGACCTTGTTTTCTGTGTTCAGACATGATAAGTTGAATGGTCTTGCCCTGTCTATTTTGTTGTGGCCTCAGAGTAATATTTGTCTGAGGTTGGAGTTCTGTGAGGTGGTTTTGGAGAGTAGGACAGTGTGAGCATTACACTGGCTTTTGAAAATCACAGAATGCTCCTTTTCTTTCTTCTTATCTAACCCCCCCCAAGACATCTCCACAAGCGCTACTTTTTGAGGACCAACTACCAAAGTGTGTCACAAAATACTTAAAGCATACAGACAGTGTAAAATGATGTCACACAATGTTTTTCTTTCTATCAAATTCTAGTCCCTCCTACAGGAGCTATGAACTCGACTTGGATGTTTCTTACTCGCAAAAATAATAGTTTTACTTTTGTTATAAAATTCTGTGTGATGTTAATGAGCTCATACCATCCTAGAAGTTACATAAATTCTACTTTTAATATGTAAACTTGGGACAGCATGTCATCCCGGTCGTGTTTTCATAAGAAGCTTTAAATATCAAATTGATTATGGGAGTGTGAGACACTCTAAACTTCACACTGAGCTGCAAGAAACTTTCACTTGTCCTGTTTAACATTATATGTGAATTTAATAGGTATAGCTTAAATACTCTATTTATTATTTGGTTTCAGTGGCCAGGTGACTCTCACATCAGGGAGTAAATTTTGGTTTTATATAGCACAATGTTGACTCAATTTTCCTTCTTTCTGCTAGACTTTCTGATAAATAATACTGACACAATCTGAGCTGCCTACACTGGAGATTCACATTCTGTACAGCTAAATTTCATTTTAATTTAATGCAGAAAAAGATAGAATTTCTCCTTGCCACAGCACTAAATAAAGTAATGTCAAACAGAGTGTCCCAGCATCAAAGTGGCTGGGTTAAGCATAAGGCTTTCTCCCTTTGCTTCTACATTCAGCATGATGTAAGCATTAGTTAAAACTACCAATGGCTCTTCCCTTCCAGAACAGTTCCCATCTGACAAGGGATGCCAGCTGAAGACTGGGTGACACAGCAGATCACCAATAAGAACACTCTCCCTTTCACCTCTGCATTCCCACAGGCAGCCTGACAGGAGCATGCCAGCGTCTATTACCAGCATCTCTGGCCCCTGTTACCTAACCAGCTGTGGTGACGAGACTCAGTCATTCACCTTGTTGACATTTCCAAAGACAAGTGCACTTAAGACCCTCTGATACTTCTTGTCACCTGGTGGTGTCATTTGGGACATTTCAAATAAAAGCAGGAAACAAAGGGGGAAGAAAGCAGGTGTTTTGAGAACTCCCACACACCTGCACTTACTTATGTGGTGGGGGCAGAGAGCAAAAATCAGGTTCAAGTCAAGTCTCTCAGGCCTCGGGGGCCTGAGTCTACTGGTGCTGAGATCCAGACTGGGTCCAGACAGATGGCTGGGAGGACAGGGCACAGGTGCCTCCAGGATGTAAATAAAATCCCCCCCAATCTGCCGAAAGTCCTTGACATTTCACCCTGATGTTTCTTTTCTTTCCATTTCAGGGGAGCACTTACGGATCTGTCCTCAGGAATATACCTGTTGCACCACGGAAATGGAAGACAAGCTAAGCCAACAGAGCAAGCTGGAGTTTGAAAACCTCGTGGAAGAGACAAGCCATTTTGTGCGAACCACGTTTGTGTCAAGGCACAAGAAATTTGATGGTAGGTGAACCTGATGACCTTTTCATGCTGTTTCCGCTGAGTACTTTTTTTCCCCCAGGAGGCTTTTGCTCTGCTGGGAAAAGCATTTTTAGGAGAAGAGGCCTCTATTCCTTCTCAAACATGTACAGTATTGTCTGTGTTTAGGAAAGGCATGGACATCCATGGCAGTATACTATTTTATGATAATGTCAGGAAAAAAGACAATCCCAGTGAACAAAGCTATTTTGTGCTTGTGTTCTGCCAGGATAATGGCTCAGCCAAATGAAATTCACCATATCATTATTTGGGTGATGCTAATTCAAGTTTTTTCTAAAATTTAGATTGCCTGCAGTTTTCTAGTGGGAAGTTTCTTTTGAAAAGTCATGTTACTCACAATTACTTGCACTACCCTCGTCTTTTGAAGAGGATAGGCTTGTCTGAATGGCAGGGACAGGGTCTCCTTTGCCTTAGCGTTTGCCATGCACTAATATGACACAGTGCATGCAGCAAATTGGGTGAATTCCACAGGGATTTTCTAACCCTCCTTTTATTTTCCAGATCGTAAATAAGCACCTTCATTTCCAGATTTTTAACAAATGTTCTTGTGTTAGAAAACCACAAAGAATAAGGGTAATTCTGAGTATAATTTCATCTTATATTTCTAATCAGGGACTCAAAAAATACTCCAATATGATCTGAGTTTTACAACAGTTTCAATTCAGATAGCAGTTAGGGGTATGTTTTTAGATGATGCATAGTTCTTAGTCGTGTGAAAAAGCATGCACTAAGCTATGATTCACTGGAAACTGGACTTGCAGCTTGTGCTAGACTTCCTTACCCCCACTGCTCCTGTTCCCTTGCCTAAGGCCCACAGAACCTATCCATTTCCCTCACCCTCTTCAGTCAGAGAACCATGGATCCAGTGAGAACAGGCTTGCCTGTATTTTTATTTCTGTTGTTTTTCTGTAGTAGGTAAGAGAGTCTACTTTACAGCTGCTTTAAACTATTACTGACACCGCTGTCTTTCAAATTGCTTCTCCATGGTGTAAAAAGATGAGTGGCCGATATACTCGCGGTGTGTACGTTTATGTTGGTGAGACTTCATCTTTTCTGCAAGGGTGTTCCAGCCCCTCCCCGGTCTTGTTTCGTACTTTGTGTATAATGTGAGCTGTGGATAGATGTGAAGTCAGCTGCTTATTTAAGTGTGATGCTATGAATGTTTCAATCTAACAAGGGCGTACTTGGAGGTTGCCCTTGATTGACAGATTACAAGTTCAAGCAGCATTCAGTAAACTCTGGGGACAGGTACCCACAATTTATCATTGCACATTGAAACATCTTGTCCTTCTTGAGAGCGCAAGTGTGGTCAGCTGCTGCTCCTCCTCATCTTGTGGTTAGAAACTAATTCTAACGCATTTGCAAAGCTGTCCTCCAAAATTTTGCTGTTCATTCTAGGGTAGAATTCAGAGGCTGGAATGTTTATTCATCATGGGAAAAATATTAGATGGCACCTAGCTTCATGAAATCTTTGGTTATTTCTTTGTGTAAAGAAGATAAGGTATTCAACTCGGCCAAGCCAGATACTTCTGTTATTTTATCAATTAATATTATATTTCATTTGTCTTAATTGAGAAATCTTTCCCACCCTAAAAATCAAGCAGGTGAGTTTTACATTGTGCTTACAAAAGTAGGGACTCGTTAGACAAGGGCAGTGGTTTCTCCAGGACTGCGCCTGGCATAGTGATGAATTCTTCAGCGATGCTCGCACTCGTGGCAGTTGTATTAGACTGCCATGGGAGAGAGGGTAAGATATCTTGATGGCAATTTCATGAGATTTTTTAAACAAAACCTGAATGTGATCTAGATGCGGAGGATCCTCAAAAGTTTGTTCTTGAAAATAAGTATGAAATTGAACTACGTGTGTGCGATTGTTACAGCAATGATTTATACCTTTCCTTCTTTCAAATTCTGCTATATCACTTTATGCTCTATCTTATTAGACCACAGAGGTGAGCTTTATAACAAACCTTTGCAAAAGATGGGACATCCCATGAAACTTTGGGCATAGTGCATGCTAGACAGGTACCTGTAGTATAACCCAGGCCTTTATTTCCCAACCCCTCCTCTTTTTTTCCTCTTCCTCTCTCTCTCCCTCTCCCTCTATCTCTTCCTCTCTCCTGTCTCTTTCTCTTGTCCTCTCTTCCTAACTCTCTTCCTATCTCTCTTCCTTTCTCCCCTCTCTCTTCCTCTTTCCTTTTCTGTTCCTCTCTCCCTCTATCTTTCTCCCTCTCTCTCCCTTCCCCTTTTTCTCCTTCCCTCTCTCTCCCCCCTCTTTCTCTCTCTCTTTCTTTTTAAGGAAAAGTCACTCCCTTGGGGCATTTCCTGGTAATTACAAGTGGTTGCAACCACAGGAGAACTATCTAGCTAAACTCAGCTATGGAATGTTACCCTGTAGGTTTTATTTTCTTGCATAGCAATCAACATTGCTGTGAACATCTTAGTGTTTAGTTTTAGAGATTTTTTTTAGTTGGTGAGTCCTTTTGCATTATTACTAAAGTCTGGGATCCAAAACATCCCATTGAAGATTCTCCTCACAGTCCAGTTCCTCAGAGATGTTGCCTTCACATTTATAGTTTACATGTCTGTGCTAGCTATACTTCTTGATAAGAAAGCAATTACTATTTAACTTAAATCTGAGAACATTGGTTCCTATGCTCATTAAGGATAACAAAAAGTTCAGTTGCATGTGGTGTATCTTTGATCCGATCAATACTATATATAGAGGCTGACATTAATCACAGTGTAAATTAGTCTCTAATTGTTGGCTTCTGTATTATGTTAGAGATGCCTTGTTTTTATTTTGCCTCCTCCTCCACCACCCAAATCTGTAGAAATTTGAAACTTGGCATACAACATATTAGTATGGGTGTATATTTTTCTCAGCTTTTAATTAACATTCTGGGTGATATTTAGAAGATCTAATGTATATAATTATAAATAATTATTAAATGATAGTAATATAGCCATGAATACATTTGAATTCTTCCATAACATTCTAAATCATGTAGTGTTGTTTCCAGTCCCATTAAACTAATATTTGAAGACAGGAATTGAAAAGATATATGTTGCCACATATAGAAATTGTATTTTCTGGCAGAGATTTATCGGTGTAGACAATTTTCTTTAAGAATAAAAATTAGAAATAAATCATCATGTGGTTACGTCAGAGCTCCTTTAGAGCTCTCAACATACCTTGTCAGCCTAGCGTTTCTGTTGCTCTCCATAAGTTGAAATTGTACTAGGCACCAGCCAAGAGTGCTTATCTCACAACTTCATATCTTGGCTTTCTGGCCTTGGTTTGCCACACACCCTGGAAGTTCAAAAACAAGCAGCAAGGTTACGTAAGAGTATAAACACTGAGACAGACGTCCTTGTGTACTCACTCATGTAAGGATAATTCTATGTTCAGTGCCTACTGGGCACGTCACTTTTGCACCTTTGCCTAAGCCTTCACTGTTTTTATGCCTCTCAGTAGCTTGTTTGTTAGGAGCCCTTAGGAAACCTTCTGAGAGTGATAATGGTTACACAGAGGCAACACATGGCTTCATTCTCCACACTGTGAGATGCTCGTCCACATGTCAAGGATAAGCTGCCGTGGAAAACCACACAAGCATCACGTGGCAGAGTCACAAGTCTATCCCCGGCTGAGCACGCCTTCTTGTTTACTGCCATCTGTCCTTCTACCCCATAATCTAGTCTCCATATGTGTTGACATTTCATGGTCAACCAACTAGCTATGCTTCTGTCTCTCCTGCCTGTCCTGTTCTGATTATGATACAGAAAAAGTAGAAATGAATGTCAGAGAATAAAAGGACTTAGAGGCATTTTTAATCCAAAAAGAAAGGAAAGAAAGAAAGAAAGAAAGAAAGAAAGAAAGAAAGAAAGAAAGAAAGAAAGAAAGACCTAAATATAGTTCAACTCCCTGAGGATCTGTTTTCCACCAAGGAAAAGGAAGCCAAGATTGTAACTTGATACATACAGTAGTCTTATAAATAGCAATGGTGTAGGAAATAAAAATTTAGTTTATTTGTTTTAAGTAGACACTGGCCAACCTTTCCTGATGCATCTTCAACAAAACAATCACAGTAATTGTTCACTTGGAATCTACTCACATGGAAAAGGTAGAGAGGGGATTTAGTTGACAGTTCTTCCAAGGTTTAGAAGATTACAAGAACAACTTACTAACTCAATGGAGGCCTCTTGTATATCCTCCTTAGCTTACTTAACCAGCTGGAGTCTATCCTGGTGTGGGAAGTGGGACCCTTCCCCGGAATGCCAGTGAAACACAGGTTATTACCTTGCTTGAACGGATGTGATGTATATTCAACCCAAAGTTTACTTACAGTTTGAACTTTCTATGATTTTTTTCATAGTGTACCTCATATTTTGCTTATCTATCTATCTATCTATCTATCTATCTATCTATCTATCTATTGCAATTTATTTCCTTTGTATTCCAGCTGTTTCCCCCTCCCTCATCCCCTCCCAATCCTGCCCTCCCTCCATCTTCTCCTCCCAAGGCTCTCTCCCAGTCCACCAATAAGGGAGGTCCTCCTCCCCTTCCATCTTTAGTTGTTGTTTAGTGTTTTCTTCTTGATCTTATTATTAGACTTTTATTTATGATTTATTTTATGTATTTTAATGATCTACATTTGTCCAGAGTTTTGGCAGCAAGTACATTTTTAAAAAGCAAACTAAAAACAAAAGAACAGTAATTTCCATTCTTATGCAGAACATATTCTATAGTAACACCTTTGAATACCCATTGCACTGAAAGCAGAAATTATTTATGCACTGAGGTATAGTATTTTCATAGTGTAAGTCTGCTCATGTTGTCTTTTAAAATGCCATTTCTCATCTATGTGCCACCAAGATGACAATAATGTAGTAACTTCTTTAAAATATAGTCTAATTTCCTCAAAGAATGCACTTACATGAAACAGAAAACAAAAGGGGTTCAA